GTCCACCTTCGGTCCCCCTTCATCATGAACGGCGTCTGCGTCAGGTGGAGAGGCTACGTGGACCTCGAAAGACTAGATGGTGTCGGTTGCTTGGAGTTCGATGAAGAATCAGCTGCTGTAAGTATTTCGGGGTCTTGTTTATTGTTTTTAATTGTTTTTGTTTTTTTTTTCTTCTCCGTTCTGTGTTCTCTTGTTTTGCGTAGTTTTTGTTTTTTTGTGTGTGTGTTTAGTCTCTCTATTTGTTTTACGTCGGTTTCGGTGGTTTTTGTTTGTTTGTTTGTTCCTTGTTTATGTAGATTTCTGTGTTTCTGTGTTTTGTTTGTTTATTATCTATCCTTGCTTACGCAGGTTCCTTGTGTCTTGTTTATTCTCTATGGTTTATTCTTGTTTACGTCGATTCCTTTGCCTTGTTTATTCTTTATCCTTGTTTACGTAGGTTTCTGTATTTAATGTATTCTCTATTTTTATCCTTGTTTACGTAAGTTCCTGTTTCTTGTTTTTTCTCTATTCTTGTTTACGTAAGTTCCTGTTTCTTGTTTACTCTCTCTCCTTGTTTACGTACGTTCCTGTCTCTCGTTTACCCCTTTTTGTGCATTATCATTATTTTTTTATCGTCTTTATCGCATTCCTTACCATCGCCTCCTCCTCTCCCTCGGCCGCAGGAGGAAGACCGCATCCTTCGGGAGGAGATCGAGAAGTACAAAGCCCGCCTTCGGGAGTTCGAGGAGAAGCAGCGCGCCTTCAGAGTCCCCACGACAAGCCACGCCCACTCCGCCCACACCCACCCCCACGCCCACACGCACCCACACGCCCACACCGAGCAGGCCAACATCCAAGTGCGCTAGCAGGTGAATTTTCTTTTTTAATTATTTATTTATTTTCATTTTGTTTGTTCGTTTTGTTTTGTTTGTTTTATTTGTTTGGTTGCTCTTTTATTTGGTTGTGATATATATATATATATATATATATATATATATATATATATATATATATATATATATATATATATATATATATATTTATATATATATATATATTTATATATGTATATATGTATATATGTATATATGTATATATGTATATATGTATATATGTATATATGTATATATGTATATATATATATATATATATATATATATATATATATATATATATATATATATATATATATATATATATTTATATATATATATATATATATATATATATATACATATATATATATATATATATATATATATATATATATATATATATATATATATATATATATAAAACTCTCTCTCTCTCTCTCTCTCTCTCTCTCTCTCTCTCTCTCTCTCTCTCTCTCTCTCTCTCTCTCTCTCTCTCTCTCTCTCTCTCTCTCTCTTTCTCTCCCTCTCTATCTCTCTTTCTAGACAGATAGATAGATAGATCAATAGATATTCCTCTCTCTGTCTCTCTCTCTCTCTAAATATATATATATATATATATATATATATATATATATATATATATATATATATATATATATATATATATATATATATATATATATATATATATATATATATATATATATATATATATATATAGAGAGAGAGAGAGAGAGAGAGAGAGAGAGAGAGAGAGAGAGAGAGAGAGAGAGACAGATCACTCTCTCTCTCTCTCTCTCTCTCTCTCTCTCTCTCTCTCTCTCTCTCTCTCTCTCTCTCTCTCTCTCTCTCTCTCTCTCTCTCTCTCTCTCTCTTTTATTTTTTATTTATAATCTGTTTATTATCACTTGATATCATTTTTTTAAGATGTCACAAAAACAATGCAAACACGTACCATATGCTAATAAAACAAAAAAGAATCAACAATAATAATTAATAAATTCAATAGTATCAACAACAACAGCAAATCAACCGAAATGTATTAACACTTTCTTCCTCTCTCTCTCTCTCCTCCAGATTCTCAGCCTTCTGCATCGCAAAAGTTGACTTCCACGCAACTAAGAAATCGTCGATGTCAGAAGAAATACCGGACGTACATACCAGTGTTGTCTGCGTGTATATATATATAATTTGCGTGTGTCAGTGCGTGTGTGCTTTATCATTATTGTTTTTTTTTTTTAATGAGCATGTGTGTTTGTGCTTGGCTTTCTTCAATATTTTCGTGCATGACGAAGGAAGAGAGAGTATTGACCAATCATCGGGTCGATACACGATGTAGCGCCGCCCACCATCTCTCTGAATGGATGCTAAGGATGATGACGTCATGGGAATTCCGGCCAATCAGGAACGACAGATCTCTACAAGAGCCAATTCAAAGTGTGAATGCCAGGCATCTGAAAATAGTAATAACATTACTATTGTGTATATGACTGCGTGATTTAAGCGTGACGAAGTGATTTCCCTGTACAGTGCGTGTATTTTCACAATGATGTACAACGGCGAGATATATCAAGAGATAGGTTGATAAATCTTCGCATTTTCCCAAATGTATTGGAGACTCGATCTAACACAGGTGTTAGAAACTC